GTGCTGTCCCTGAAAGATGTTGTCTGGTGCGTTCTGTGCAGTGCGGTGCTGGCGGTACAGTGGCAGGGTCAGTCTTTCGTAGAAGATGCAGTCACGTGAACGCGTGAGCTGGTGGGTGGCGAAGTCCAGAATTGTCCAGGCGTGATATTCGGATTCGATTTCGAGATGAATGCCCCATCGGGCACGGTCTTCAAAATTTTCGGTGCGGGCAGTGTGGGGGCGGTACTGTACCATGCACCCGAACACGCGCAGCATGCGAGTGTTGGGGTGTTTTCCGGTCCACTCCTTGAAGGGAGAACTGTTGTTGGGCAGTACTTTCGAGGAGAGCATGTTGTGCAGACGAACTGCATGCTCCATCGCGAAGGGCCAATTCTTGGTTGGCACAGTTGACTGCTTCATGAGGGCTCGCATTTTTGTCGCGAGGCTCCTGTTGGTTCGCTCGGCCAATCCCTGTTGTTCGTGAGCATAGGGGAGCGAGATCATCCTCTTGATGTCTTTCTGCTTGCAGAGGGATTTGAAGTCATCCGACAGGTATTCCAGGGCCCCGTCTGTCTGGAACGCCTTCACCTTGTGACCGTCACTCTGAGTTTCCGCCATGCTGAGCCAGACTTCGAAGCACTGGAAAGCAAGGTAGCGATCGCTGACGTTTTTGGCCCAGACGAAGCGCGTGCCAGCGTCAATGAAGGTGAGTGTGTATTGCTCTCCTCCGACTCCTTTCGCCGTAAGTACCAAGAAATCGCTGTAGACCTTTTCTAACGGCTTGTAGCGTTCGGCTCCAGGGATCTTCTCGGTGAATGGTGTGTGACGTAGCGCGGCTGCCGGGCAGACGGAGCAATTGGTTAAGTCGGTTCTCAGCTTCAGCTGCTTTCCATCTGGCAGCAACAGTGCGTCTTCCGCAAAGACTTTTGCGTTGATGCAGTTGTTGAGCACCTCGACTGATGGGTGGCCCATGTGTTGATGCCAGATGTCTCCGTCAGCCCGATATCCCCTGGTGCATGTGTATAGCTCCTTTTCCCGTGCCAGTATTTCTTCTGCTGTCTCCTTCCTGGTTTCGTCCGCAGGTTCATTGGGCACGGTGATATGTACTGCTGCTGCTTGGAGTGTCGCGCCGTGATACGTTCCGCTGGTGTCGCCGATGGTGATGGTGTCAATTGTTACCGGAAGCTCCAGCGGTCCTTCAGGAGGCGGGGGCGAGGTTCGCGGCCGACGATCTTCGAGTTGCGTGATGTCTCTTTCTTCGGAGATGGTGTCGCCGATCGCCACTTCCCTTGTCTCGAAGCGGAGGTAAAACCTGCCGTCCATGGTGATGGGAATCAGGTGAGGTCTGAACTCTGTTAGTGACTCTTCTTCCTCTGCTTCTGGTGCTTCCTCAGTAATTTCCGGTTCTTCGGCTGTCTCTGCTTCTTCTGCCGCAGGTCCTTCAGTGATGTTTCCCCATCTGGGTTCGTCTGCAACGGTTTCTCCCAGCGCAGTGTTCTCCATGACCCAGCGTACGTCGACAGTGTCCCAGCCTTGGGTGGTGTTCCAGCCGGTAGGATGTGGAACCGAAGGCCAAGTTGGTTGCGCAGTTTCCGTGTCTACTACTTCGGTTGTTGCGTCTGCCGCGTCTGACGAGCCCTCTTCTCCCTCTTCCACTGCTTGTGGTCCTGTGTCTCCAGGGTTCGTGGTTGATGCGACGGGTACGGCAAGGGCGCGGAAGGTGCCGTCGAGGCCTGGTCGCTGATAATCGGTCTCCTCCGGATGGCTCCACCTAGGTGGTGACGGGTGGCCAGGTGGATCAAGAACGAGGATGTGCTCGTTGTCGCCAGAGGTCTTGGGCGACTCGAAGTTAATTACGAACACTCCTTCCACGCTTGTTGCCTTCCCGATGAAGATCCCATTGTAAATTAAATGCATTTCATCTTCTGTTGTTTCCAGGCCGACTCCGCACTTCATCAGCTGGTGGAGGGACAGGAGGTTGTACCGAAGTTCGGGCACGACGAGCACGTTGCTGAAGTGGATGCAGTATCCCGTGTCGTGTGACTCCAACTGGACTGGGCTGCTTGCGTAAATGGTTTGGCTGTTGGCAACGGTAATCTCCACCTCATTGAAGAGTCGTTCGCTATTGAGGATGAAGACGTCTGACAACACCATATGTTGACCGCAGCAGCTATCCAGGTACCATGTGTTAACTTCCTTCCTTGCCTTGGCGAGGTTGGCAAGTTTTGGGGTGATATGATGTTCCTTATCGTGCTCGTTCTCGTAGTCATAAAAATAATATTCGTCTTCGTATGCCTCTCGTGCAGGTGGCGAATCCTGAATCCACAGTGGCATTTCCCAATCGTACTCCATCCGTCCGACCGTCAGCTCGTCGTACGTCGGATCGTTTTCTTCTTCGTCTTCAACGGATCCTTCCGGGCACTCCTGCGGCGGGTCTGCGAACATGTCTTCCCAGCTGCAAAAGAAGCGGTAGTGTCGATTGGGGCGAGGTGGTCCGCGACGCACATACAAGTTAACACCTTGCTCTTGCCCTTGTCGCTTGTGTTCGCAGGGATGCATGCCGGAGCTTGAGATGTGCTTGCGTCGGCAGGCGGAGACATTGTCTGGTTACTTACTGGATTTCTTCCTTGCTGGTGAGCGGCGGTACTTTCTGGTTGTTGTTGTTGCCGTTCAGCTTCCAGCAATCTTGAATGATGTGTCCAGTCTTCTTGCAATACTTACAGAAGAGTCTTTTCTTGTCCGGTGATGCGTGCGCGTAGAAAGCAATGTTCTCCTTCTTGTTGCCTCGTTCGTTGTACAGGTCCATTTCCTTCTGCTCGGAGAGGAGCATCGAGCAAAGGGCAGTTTCGCTGACGGTTCCTTGAGTGCGAAGGAGCGACTTGCACTGGCGCCATTCCTCAATCCAGCGAGTATGATCGTGACGAACATGTCGTCAGGGAAGTTTCCGCCGCTTTTCCTGAACTGGTCTCTTAAATTTCTGCAGCGGTTGATGTAGGATCCGGCCTTTTCACCAGGGAACAACTTGACGTTGTTCAGCTGGTTGAGCAGGCGACTAAGTGTCACCGAGTTTGTTGCCATGTGGCAGGTGCGCAGGAGTTCCCAGGACTGCTGCGCGGGTGCCCATTCGTTCTTGAAGGGGCGAATGCTCAGTTGTTCTTCAGGCGACAGGTTTCGGATCAAGACGGTGAAGGCCAGGAGAGATTCGTTGTAGTACTGCGTCTTCTCCTGAGGTGAGCCGTTGGTTGGGAAGAGATACGAACCATCGTAATACATCCAGATCTGAGCGCCTTGAGCTAGCAGTTCGAATTCGAAGCTCCATGTGTAGAAGTCTTGCCCGTCGAAGGGTTTTGTTGTCCTGAGCTTCGACGTTAAGAGGAACTTGTTCTGCATTGACGCCATTATCTCGAAATGTGCTTATTGTGTTTGAGCAGGTCCTGGAGCTCCTCGATTGTCGAAGGTGAAGGACCGTTCTGATCCAGCTCCTTGAGGATCGGGAGGTCTTCGGACGCAGCTTGAGCCGTCGATGCTCATTGGCTGATGGCTCTCCAGTGCGCTGATACGGGAGATCAGCTGCTCGAGGAGCGCTGTATCCACAGTCGTTGTAGTAGAGGCGACATTAGTGGAGGGTTGCACTGGATTTTCTCCAGTCTCTCCGCAGTCAGCTCCTGGCATTGTAATGGTCCTTGATGTTGTTGATGTTGACAGCTTAAGTTATAAAGAAGCTTTGTTGAAAGCCCCTCTAGCAGCCCCTATAATCCAAACTGGCTCTCATACCATGCTAGAGTGAGGATCTTGGATAGGATAGGAGTTGCTTAAGAGAGTTTGGTAGTGGAAGTCTTGGTAGGAACTCTCATCATAGTGAATGTAAATGACAAAGTTAATTAAAAGGTAGAATACAAGCAAATAAATAGTCCTAACTAGCCATGTACTCTAAGGGGTACATTCCCTTATTATAACTGTTTTACAGGCAATTCTACAGTGACTCTAGCTATTGCTCTTCCTTTCTTGTTACCGAGTCGCTGCTTGTAACCGTGCGTACGGTTACGCCTGTTGCCATTCCTCGATGGTAGGTCAACCGTCAGTCCAGATAGTCAACAGTCGCGACAGTTGACTCTTGCGACTGTTGACCTTCCTGCCTTGATATCGGCTGATCCAACATTCGCTGCTCGCGCTGATTCGATAATGACAGGTGCGATGTAGCTGCACCTTCGGGAATGCTTAAGTAAGATTCCCTTTATACTCCAACAGGAGCATTAGTGAGATCATAAGCACATGCACAAAATACAGCACAATTGTGTAGTGTGGATAATAGCTCAATAATGTACTAACTAAATCCAAGCCAGGCCGAACCAGCTTTGGCGAGAAGTTCGGGAGAACCCCGACCGACGTGAAACGCACACAAGCGCGCGCGAAGCTGAATTCACCCGAGTGAACCGAAGTAACACTCCACCCCACTTTTCCCGCACCATCATCTCTCCGCAGCGCACGGAGCCTGCGTTCTGCCCTGGTGTCTGCTCGCCTCCCTCCCCGACGACCCCAAGGCCTTCCCTCCCTGCCTCTCCTCCACTCCACTCACCACCCCTACGCCTGCGCACTACAAACCACTCGCGTACGCTCATTCCTCTCATCGCTCTCCAGCTTCGCTCTCTCTTGTGACTAGCTCTCAGCCTTCCGTTGCCGTTTTCATTCAGCGTCAGCATGGCCTCAGTTTCCTACTCAGATTATCCGTCGTATGCTGCAGCGCTGAGCTTCTGGAATAGTCTCGGCAGGGAGGACTCGACGGCATCACGCCGCGTTCAGCCGCTGGGCGAGTCATCCAGCGGCGGATCGAACGACACGAGCCGTTCTTCCGTCGTCACGGCCCGCTGCAGCACCAACAATGGCGATTCTAGCGATGACGCCGGCGCCGGCTGCAACGAGGCTTGCTCTCGCGACGACACAGCAGCAGCGCCAATGCTTCCAGTGCTTCCACCTGTGACGTCGCATCAAGCGCCGACGCGAGATCCGGCTTCAAGGTCAGATCAAGTGACGCTTAAAGCGGCCGATTGTGCCGAATCGGAAACTGTGGCTGCAACGTCGGATTCCGCAGCATCGCAACGTGCAGCATCAGAATGTGCAGAGTCGGACCCTGCAGCTTTAGACTCTCCAGCATCGCAACCTGCAGCATCGGCGGAATCTGCTGTGTCGGCGGATTGTGCAGCGTCGGCGGAATACGCACCGTCGGCGGAATGTGCAGCGTCGGCGGAATGCGCAGCGTCGGTGGAATGCGCAGAGTCGGCGGAATGTGCAGCGTCGGCGGAATGCGCAGCGTCGGCGGAATGCGCAGCGTCGGCGGAATGTGCAGCGTCGGCGGAATGCGCAGCGTCGGCGGAATGTGCAGCGTCGGCGGAATGCGCAGCGTCGGCGGAATGCGCAGCGTCGGCGGAATGTGCAGCGTCGGCGGAATGCGCAGCGTCGGCGAAATGTGCAGCGTCGGCGGAATGCGCAGCGTCGGCGGAATGCGCAGCGTCGGCGGAATGTGCAGCGTCGGCGGAATGTGCAACGTCGGCGGAATGTGCAGTGTCGGCGGAATGTGCATCGTCGGCGGAATGTGCAGCGCATTCCCGCGCGTCAACGGCGTCAGCAGATCGCAGCAAGGCAGCACATATAGGGCCGCCGACGCGCATCCCGAAACCGAGCAACAAGGCAGTGAATGTGAGGCGCGTGGAGGGAGCGACTCTGATTCCCAGGCCTAGCTGTGCTGCACCGCACAGGGAGGTGCGGGGAGTGCAAGTTGAAGCTGCACGCAAGCGGCCCAGCACAACACCCAAGGTCGTGCTCGCCACCTCAAGGTGCCCATGGCGGCCTTGACTGCTGCCGCGAGAACAAAATGAAAGGTAAAAATAAAGGGGTAAAAAAAAAGAGAGAAAGAAACTGACTGAACATGTGGCATGGCAAAAAAAAAATGAAAGCAGGGACGGAGAATGAAGGGAAATGGAGGGATGGGGTAAAGGCGGCCGATGGCACAGAAGCACAGCAGTGATGAGCGAGTGGGGGGTTGTGGGGCGGTTTGGGGATGCGGGTTGGGAACCATGGTGGGACACTAGCCTTTTTTGCAGCCTGCTTCACAGCAGGCTGCTTGGGCAGTGTGGGCTTGCTGACCTTGGTGGATGGAGGGTGGAAGGCCAAAAGAACTGCTGCTATGCTAATGTGCTCCTGAAGGGATGGCTCAGGACTGATGTGCTCCTGAAGGGATGGCTCAGGACTGATGTGCTCCTGAAGGGATGGCTCAGGACTGATGTGCTCCTGAAGGGATGGCTCAGGACTGATGTGCTCCTGAAGGGATGGCTCAGGACTGATGTGCTCCTGAAGGGATGGCTCAGGACTGATGTGCTCCTGAAGGGATGGCTCAGGACTGATGTGCTCCTGAAGGGATGGCTCAGGACTGATGTGCTCCTGAAGGGATGGCTCAGGACTGATGTGCTCCTGAAGGGATGGCTCAGGACTGATGTGCTCCTGAAGGGATGGCTCAGGACTGATGTGCTCCTGAAGGGATGGCTCAGGACTGATGTGCTCCTGAAGGGATGGCTCAGGACTGATGTGCTCCTGAAGGGGTAGCAAATAGTTGGTAGGGTAGTTGCTGTGAAAATGTGGCTAGTAGTGCACATTTGTAATGGTTGCATTGGGTATGATTATATTTGAAATTGCATTGGGGTATGAATGGATGCAGTAACCTTGCACGGCCTAACATAGATACTCCTAGGGTGAGTGAATGCTGTGTCTGTCCATTCTTAGTCGACACACAATGCCTGCTCAAGTACCGTACCATACACTTCAATTTCTGCTGCAGCGGCAGTGCTTGTGAATCCACTTGACAGCCCTCGTGACACACAGCAGGGCATGATGAGTTGAGACGGACCAAGGCAGTGGCTTCACAGCACACAGCGGGCAGAAGCAACATCCCTCGCTTGCAGCACATGAGGCACGCTGCAGCACAAGCATCAAGGTGTGGCAGCAAGATGAGGGCGTGGGCATGGGCGTGGGCTTCCGTCGGAAGGGACCATTCATGAGAAGCAACATTACTCCCACGAATTCCTTCTCACGTACACAACTCTTCTTCGAAATCTCTCCCCCGAAGAGCAGCTCAGCATTCGCTCCTACAAGACGGAGTGGGCTCCTGCGCACGCATCCTAGGAGCACCTGCGCAACTCATACATGGCAACAGACCCAGTGACAATGAGTTGCCTACTCAGCCAACTGACTTCTGAAATGAAACAAGGGTAGAAAGCAGGACCGTATATCAACCAGTGTCGCAATCTACGCGACCACATCAAGAAGTGTAGCAGAACCGTTCCCGGCGACATGTTTGTCTCAATAATTCTCTCCGGCCTCGGACACGACTGGTGTTAGTCGCTGCTCCGCGCTCGAGCAGCCATTTTCGAGTCCGCTCTGTGCGCCACACTTCTCTCCGAACAAAAGGAGATCGACCTATACAATGAGATAAACAGCAAGAGGGAGAAATAGTTTCCTACGCTGGAGCGATTGAAGGGGAGCAGCATGGAAAGAAAGGAACATTCTGCAAATATTGCAAGAAACCCGGCCACACTATCGATCGGTGCTACAAGCGGAAAGCCGCCGAAGAGAGGCACAACTCTTCTAGTTAGCAGCCCTCGGAACCATCAGCACTCCCTGCTGCGACAACCACCGTGTCGCCACCCTCCGTCGCAAGTACCTCGCAAACTCTTGTGCGCATCACAAACAAGGACAAAGGCAAGGGGTCAATAATGAGCTGCATGGCACGCCGTCGCGGAGGCATTCGATACTATGACGGCACCGAATAACCGCCCATCGCGCCCATCAACCCCATCGCGCCCAGTCCAGACAACGATCCTACCATCCACAGTTGGATCGATCGTCCAACGAATATCCCGCCAGATTTCGAGCTGCCTCCCCCAACTCCTGAATCTCCTAGTATTTCCGCGAATATACTTCGCTCTCTCGCCGTACACCAGTGACTTCGACCGCGTTGTTACACCGAAAATTGCCAACATCGCGCGCCAGGGTCGCGAGAGCGTCAACACCTGGTACCTTGACAGTTGATGCGGGCAACATATGGTGGGATCATCAACGTTCATCAGCAACTCAAAACGTATGTGGCGACCGTGCGAAATCACTGTCGCCAACAACAGCAAACTCAAAGCATATGACATCGGTGAAGTTTACCTTGAAGCCGATGACACAAAATTCACTATTCACATCGGAGATGTGCAGGTCGCCCCGGATCTGCAGTACAACCTGCTCTCATCGGCACAACTCATGCAGTGCGGAGTCGACATTCGCAGCAACTGCAAGGACAATGCTTTCGAGCTGTTCTACAACAACTCTTACATCGGCAGGGCTATCGACGATGACAGAGTTTTCGTGTTGCATTTCACGGCTCAGTGCACCACTGGCGACTCTAAGCACACGTTGCTGCTGAAAACAACTCCCTCGGAGCCGCCAACATGGTCACATTCCACGACGGTCTTCTGCGATTGCGCACCGTCCCGACTGCCTCGACCTCCAATCCTGCTGACACCGACCTGCCACAATGGAAGAGGACGAAGACAGTGGCGCGTCAACACCTGCAGAAACAAACACCGGACGAAGCGGAGCAGCTCGAACAAGATGGGGAAGTCCCGGCCCCACATTCGGGCCATGGGGAGAAATCCTGACACTAGAAGAAGCAGCTGCGGGTGGTTGGGGCACTGCTCCAACAACAGAAGCCGGGACCGCCACCAAAGGTGGCTGGGGAACCTCAATCGAAGGAGGATGGGGGGCATCACAGCCCACCTACAACGAAGCTACAAGGCTCCCTCCTGCAGTAGTAGCAGCGGTCGACCCGTACTGGGCAACTCGCGGTACCAGCTGGGGCGGACCTCCTCTTCCCAACCAGTACGCCCCTGACACACCAGAACCCATAGCGGAGGAGTCAGAAGAAAAGTAACCTATGAGTTCTTTGGGGAAGCAGCGGAATTACCGGAATTTACCGAGGAACCTGCCTCACCAGCGCAAGGGCCACAACAAATTGAGGTCATCGGCGACGAATACAGCTACTTTCGAATCCCGATGGTGGAAGGACATCCCATCTCCGACTGGCACAAGGCGCCTTCATAATCATCACATCTTCTTGTCACCGGCGAGCAAGTCCATGACGCTGACACAGACGACATTGTCGGAATTCCCCACGCCCTTCTGGAACGAAACTCCATTCAAGCCTTCGCCACTGACGTCGAAGCCGCCACCGACAGAGGACCTGAAAAGGAGCAAAATGATGTCACATTTGTATGAATGTGAAGGGTAAGGCAGGGCGAGAACGGGCTGTATATACTGTAGATAGTGTACATAGCGAAGCAAAGTGCAGCGGGGACGGGAGCCGAAGAGACATTCGACGTTTCACGAACGGGGAAGGGAAGCGGGGAGCTGGCGGTTGCCGAGCCTGAGGGTCGGAGGATTACATGGGTGAGTGAGAACTGGAACTGACGTAAGCAAGGAGGGGCGGGCTGCAGAAACAGAGGCAGACAAGGCAGTGGCAACAGGAAGCAGCAGCGCAGGACGTGATGGATGGGTGAATGTATGCATGCGTGTTTGTTTCCCTATGTGTGCAGGATAGGTTCGGGGAGCCAGCTGGAACTGGCAGTGACAGCTGGAGGAAGAGCAGACAGGGAAGGGAAGGGTGGCAAGAGGTAGCCCGGCTGTAAGCCTGTGTGAAGCAGCTCATAGCTGCTAGCGTAGGCAGGGGTGATAGGGCCGTAACATGGTGGTGGAAGCGCTGGTAGAATAGGTGGATTCCTGAACTGACTATCCATTGCTTGTATGTTTCCCTTTTATACAAGTGTTTTGTTGTAACCAGAGCAAGCAGTGAACCTAGGGAGATATGGCGAGCAAGGGATCGTAGATAGGGGAAGAATGTCTAGTATGTGAAGGAGCACAGAGCTCATCACATACAAGCAATCAGAGGAGGCATGCCCACGAGGTCAGGATTGGATTTCGCCGCGAAGGAGCCGATTGTGGTGAGCGAAGTGATGGAGGGTGAGGGGAAGAACGACGTAGGCTCAGGAAAGAGCCGGCGCGCATGGCGCGGAGGGAGGCGAGCACGGTAGGCAAGGGGAAGCCACGGGCCCCGACACCGCTCGCGAGAAGACGCATGAGACGGGCGAAGCGGGAGAGGAAGGCGAGGCGAAGAAATCAGTGTCGAAAAAGACTAGTACGAACGCCGGAGTAAGGACGGGAACGGGTCGACCCTACCAGCGCTGTGCGTCGTGGCAGGGATTTGAGGAAGAGGCAGCTTCGGCGCGGTGGCGATACACAATGCTCCCGAAGGTGGAAGTGCCGGAACGGTTCTCGGGAGAGGTGCGGCGAGGACCTTCCCTGAAAAATTATCTCATGCAACTGGACAATTTGCGGGTGCGATGGGAGCAAGATCAGCTGGCAGCGGAAGAATTCTTCCGAGGGCTGGCGAACACGTTGACGGGAGAAGCGGAGACCTACTACCGGATTTGCCGCCGTGAGCTGCTGGATTGGGCGGCGCAGGGGAGACCAGGAGAAAGAGATCCGACGCAGCGGTTCTTGGAGATGCTCCGCGAGCAGTTTCCGCTGCAGACGCCAGAGCGGGTCGTGGAGTTCCGCGATTTCAAGCGAAGGACGG